AAGAAAAATAACCAACTTTAGTTGGAAAAAGGAAACTGCAGTGGTCATAGTGCAATGTTTTGTTGATAAAACGGTCACTTAAATTCCTCTTTTGTTCCTTGTGGCAACAAGAAGGCTTTGTCACTTGAACATAAACATATGCTGTTTTGGGCCACTTGCTGAAACAATTGATGCTGACTTCTTGGGAGGACAGTCTTGCTTTGGTAAAGCACAGGTGTAACTATTTATAATTCATTTGAGTGTACCGGTAAGCAAGCAAGCATATAATAGCAGAGCCCTGGACCTGGGATGGCCATCATTAATATTATGAGTTACATTTCAAAATGTATACTGTGAAAGAGGTCTGTTTGCCTTTTATGTTTTCTTCTTAGTCATATTCTGTTTGACATATACGCAATACAAACTACCAAATCAATTTGACTTCCTCAGAATAACCGTAACCGTAACAAGCCATTTTGTCCATAAGGAATTTGCATCATGTATTTGGATGTGTCAATGATTTGACTACAGGTGATGTCAGAGGAAATAAGATTGCAACTGAATATGGGTAGGAGGAGTTCGAGATAAACTTTTCAGCGTGTCTCTGAATGCCTCCCGCTCACCTGCTTTGTTCCAAATCTTTCTCAACAGACACACAAACACTGAATATTTGCCTCCATAGCAACCAATATTGTAGCAGTAATTGCAATACAATAACATTATTTTGCATATTTTCTATAGTGTAATCTTCCACAGTGTTGCTCAACAACTGTAGCATGACAAATACATTAGTCAATGTTTTGAGTTTCAGGACTGTTTCAACATGGTGGGATTGGTAATCATCATTCATATTACACAAACTTCTGTCTATGCACTGCTGAAAAATCAATTTTGGCTGCCAAGCTCAACTGAAAGTTAATTATGAGGTCAAATTATTTTCCATTTACTTCAAACAGATTTCCAAAGTGTTTCACAGATATATAGCAGTGCTTGTTGTTTTTCTAAGTTACTTTCAGTTGCCTCTGATCTTTTCTCTGCTGTACCATCTGTCTCTCTCTTCCTCCTTGTCATTTCATCTATTTCTCTCCACTTGACATGTGGTGATTTCTCTCTCTCGTCAGATCCCCGTCAAGAAGTGACAAATGTCCCTGCTATTTATTTTCTGTCCCTCTGTCGATTTTCTCCACAATTACTACATTTTTCTACTGGAGCTGCAGTGGATGTAAATAATGCATTTTTCCCAGAGATCCTGGCTGTGTTAGAGTCTCTTTCTTCTCTGTCTCATACATTACTATTCATGCTGCACAACTGTTTCTCTACCTGGAAAATCTGTGCTGGCATCTATATTAAATAGTGTCTGACCTGAAAAAGTTTGCAGAGTACACATGTTTATTCAGCCATGTGTGATGAATTAAATGCAATAAATTACATGTGAGTAATTCAGTGATGATTAATGATGTGTAAAAAGGGACTTGGGGTTTGGCTGAGGTGGTAGCTCTGGACATAGAGAGCATTCACACATACACATATGGCTCACACAGTCACATACTGCATACACATTCACGTTGTCTTCCTTAAAAACACTCAAACTGACCACGAACTTACAGCAAAGGTCTGTTCGCTCAACCTGAATTTCTTATCTGCAAAAAAAAAAGACTGATTTTATTTTGTCTTCTTCATCATCTTTTTCTTCTATAGTCTCACCTTGGAGAGTGGGAAGAGAAGCAGGGTATGTCTTATGTCTGTTTTAACTAGGTCAGACCCTGCAGCAACAGACTCAGAGAGATCGGAAATATTTTTCCTATTTATGTAAAAAATGACAAGAAATATGTACAACAGCATGCATGCTGTGCAGAGGGATGATATAAAGCTGCATTGTTTTTATCGTCTTTCTTGTCTCTGTCTAGCAAATTTCTTTACATCTGAAAAAGGAAATCCATGGACATGAATGTTGATCAAAGCACGATGCAGTATAGACTCTATTTCATTTAATACAGTTCTGTTATGCATTTGGACTTTTAAACATCTTAATATTTGGTATGTATTTTGACTATAAAGCATCGGAATAATTAAATGATATTCATAAACTGGAAATTGTTGGATTCTTAAGTTGGGTAATAGGTTGTGGGTATTAAACATTTAAAAGAATTGAGCACAGTTTTATTGTAGATATACGAATAGTATAAGTAGGATAAAATAGATGTTGTGTACTAGATGAGGCGTACTACCAAACACTGAAAGACACTTTTATCACCTGATAAAACCTGCTTACAAATCACCGTTGAAAGTTTGCTTGGGTAAAACAGCTCTATCAATGGTGATTTAATTGTAATGGTGATAAAAATCCTCTTTCAGTCAAAGGGTGATGTGAAAGCGCGTCAGGCCTCAGGCAGAGCTTGAGCCAGAGTTGAAAGCACCACAGAATCTGGCGTCATTGGTTCAAAGCCACCGGCATGTTGGATGCTGTTTGGCAGGCTGGCTGTGTTTGTGCTCTAGGGAATCGAGGAACTCAAAACACTCAGCAAGCTCTTTGGCAGTTTCAGCCCCGAGGCTGTTCTAGAGCAGGATGGTAAAGAGAGAGGCATACTGTAAACACACGCACAGTTCCTACCTTGATCATCACTTTTTCTTTACTATTCTCAACAGAGTGACTGGTGAAGAGTACAAAGTACTTCTGTTTGAAAACATACACACACTGAAGGATAGTACTGTCAACTGGTGTCTTTGCCTGAAACAACAGTAGTCAGCAAAGCTTTAATTGGCAGCCTAAATGATGGCACGTGTTTCCGTTCTCCTGAAAATGATTGTTGAGTGACTCTGTCTGAACACTTCAAAGACCAGTGTGTAGGATCTAGTTTTAGGTATTAGTGTAGCATAGGCGTAATGTAGTTAATGAGTGGGTATTAATAACTCTGTGGATAATATAGTCAGAGTTTTGACCTTGACGTAATTCTCAGGGTATTTCATTATAATATCACTTCATCCACTGAAAAATGTGTTACCCTGACATTGAAGGATTTGAATGAAGGAAGGAATTTCCAGTTATAGTTGTCACATTATTAGGAAATGTATTGTGCAGGATTTCTTACCTTATTAACCCATATTGAGGGGCTTTGTTCTATATTTTGACAAGCCAAGACATTGTTTGTTTATATTATGTAAGCTTGCACTGCATATGAAAAACTCCTCTTCTCTCTTCCTCAGAAGGAGCACAACAGGTGTCAAACTTCCCCGTTGTGTTAGCTTGTTCAGTTTATTGAATTATTGTGGTGCAGCACAGAGGGGGGTCTGCGTATTTTCTTGCCTCACGTTGTTTCTTTTTCTGCTGCAGGGAAATGAGGAGGACTGGTCTAAGGAATGCTAGAGGTCTGAAGAGACCTTTATCCTTCGTTTTATTCTCTGTGATTCAGCTCCAGACCCCATGTTGGCTCTTTGTAACAGTACAGAGCCTTAGTTTATGAGTTGAATGAGTACTTTAGATAAAGGTACATGGCTGCATAGGCATGCACGTTTGTGTATTTGTGTATTTGGTTGGGTATGGCATGGGGATGTAAACAAATATGAATATATTACGAGCAGATAATCCGTTCAAATGTTTAGACGAAATATTTGTACCTTATAGACCATCTCAAAAGTGAGTACAAAATGGCCAAGAGAGCTTTTGGGATGTCCGTTGCTTTCTTCATCTGGATCTGTAGGCACATCCTCCATTTTGTAAATAAGTAATAAGGCCCAATTATTTATTATTGCCCATTTATTTATGTGCTTTTTCATTTTCTCATTAGACACTTCCACTGTTATAACCTTCATCCCCACCCAGACTGTTAAAAGCTACGCAGGGTTGAAGGCAAATAATTTTATTTTGTTGATTAAATATTTATATATATATATATATATATGTATATATACACTACTCACAAAAGGTTAGGGATATTCGGCTTTCGGATGAAATTTCAGAATGTACATAAAATGCACTATAACCTTTCCAGGTGATCTTAATTTGACCTTCTACTTAAATGCCCTACTTTCATGATATAATATCACTGTAGCATCAACTTTTTACATTTTCCATAAATTTCACCCGAAAGTGGAATATCCCTAACTTTTTGTGAGTAGTGTGTGTGTATATATATATATATATGTGTGTGTGTGTGTGTATATATGTGCTGTTCAGCTAAGATTTCTACTTCAGTGGAGCTTAAAGGATGAAAAGTCAGGGTTGTGTGAGAGAGAGACAGAGTGCAGTCTGAAGTCTTATATTAGTCTATAATGTTGTCTGATATTGACCTGACTCCTCAAGCTACTTTGTTATCTCTCTGCCTCTCCTGCATCTTTTTATTCACAGCTCTCATCCTCTTGTCTAATCTCACCCTCACACTGTACCGCTAATTCCCTTTCATTCCTTTGCGGCTTTGTTCCTTATGCCCTCTTTTTCTTCCCCTTATACTTGTTAGCAGTATTATTCTGTTCTGTACTTATTCTCTCCACCTCTATCCACACTCCCATCCATGCCTATTTTACTCCCTCTCCACCATCCTCTTACTCACTACCCAACATATTCATATATCTGCTCTCTCTCCTCCCTGATTGCCTCTTCATCTTCACCCTCCTCCGCTGTGTGTTTCAGCTGTTCAGTCATGCCGAGAAAAGACCTTGTTAGATTTTAGCTGTAAAGCGTAAAACTAGATGGAGCAGGACCTTTGACTTGTTGCCCTTTCACCCCTCCAACCCTCCAGACACCCCAAGTCAACTTAAGACCATTCCCACAGTGAAGGAATTTATTAAATGCATGTATTCCAAAGGAAATTATTTGGATATGTTTTGGAGGGATATAAACATTTCTCCGCCCTGTAAAATGTTTAGCGCTTTGAAGACATAAGATTTTCACTAAGAGTGATTTTGGTAACATCACTGTGATCACATCAAGAGCCACAGTCAAGTCAGTAAATGTATTTGTAAAATTACTCATCAATAATCTCTCTCTCTCTCTCTCTCTCTCTCTCTCTCTCTCTCTCCCCCAGGGTGGTGTGGAGGATCGGGTTTGTCCGGTCATCATGTGCACGCGGGCCTATCCTGACCCCGTCCCTGAGTGCCAGCTGTTCCCGGGTGAGGTGGAGGAGCCAGAGGAGGAGGTGGCAGACGAGGGAAGGGAGAGGGAATCAGACAGAGACAGCGCTGTGGAAAGCACTCAAGGGTCAGACACCTCTGACGGCCTGATCAGATCAGGGGACAAGGAAGACGCACTGGGGGATCTCTTTTTTCCTGGGGAGAAGTAAGCCCTGTTGATTGTCCTCACTGCTGGTGTTTCTATCAGACTCTCTGAAATTATCGTCAGGCTATATAGAGTCCTATAGCCAGAGTCACCTATCCTCTGTTTTTCTTTCCACTACTTTTTCCGTATAATGTATCAGTCCACAAGTGATAAGTTGGGGAAAATGTATCCTCGAAACTCAAATAAGCCTATGATATACTAGGTTATACTATGAATATAATCATCATTAATTTCAGATCAAAATCAAAAAGACAAATCTGAAACAAATTTCTTATCCAGTACCCAAAATGAAGATAATGAATTTAGAGTCTAACACCAACTTCTCTCTCTTCTTCCTCAGGTGTGGTCAGACCAGCATCTCAGTGACATCTGACCTATCGACGCGTTCCTCGGCTTCCCTGAACGAGGAGCAGTTTGAGGACTACGGTGAGGGGGAGGAACCGGACTACATTCCCAGCAGCCCCTGTCTGGACGACGAGACTCGTACCAACGGATACTCCGACCTCGGCTCATCTGTTCCCTCTAGGTGAGAGAGAGTTAGACAAAGAAACATTGCTCTTCATGTTTGAAGTGGGACAGTATGGTAAAATGTCACATTGTTATTCCAGGATTTTCCACAATGTTGAACAGCAGGGCGGTGTCACCTCACCTAAAATAATGACCACAGAGCAGATGGGCTGTTAAACTCAATACATTCAAAATTATTAAATGGGTGTGGCGGTTGTTTAGATCGTCATCTACTGAGATGGATTACGATCATTTGGCTCACCACTTCCGCCAATAATTTCTGTGGGAGAAACCATACAACAACATACATCATTTTTATAGATATCTGTATTTGTATTGACAATGTTGCGGGCTGGCGAACAGTTTGCATATTAAAACACACATATTAGGTCTCTCTCCTACAACCTCCAAATAAACTCTGAAGTTTTGTCAAATTCTCTTTCAAACTCTTGATGTTTTTGCTCTTCACCCACATTAGCCTGTTGCAACAGTAATAGGAACCATGCACGCTAATTGTGTAGTTAAGTGGGTGATGACGAATTGATTATCTCCTGTACTGATGGCCTACTTCAGTCCAGAATTAGTGTCCTGTTGTTTTGTGTGTGACAGGTAGACTCAGTACAGACAGTTCGCAAGGTTAATAATGACTCTATACATAGCCTTATTAGCTATACATTTATATACTTATTATTGAGCTTTCTTGATGAGTGATAGCGTTTCTTCGAGGCCCAATAGCAAACGTTTGGTGGCTCGGTACCTTGTGTTCGGACCAGGGGTTGGGAACCACTGTGTTAGTAAGTGCAGATAATTATACTTTTGAGTTGTGTGTAGGCGTCTTTGCTTTTCTCAAAGGTTAAGTCTTGATGAAGACATTGATCACTTTCTGTAGTTTCAACTCTATTAAATATTATGGACTTGATGCTCCACTGTCAAGCTCCAGAATCATTACCTGACTCATATTATTCCGAGTCTTGACTGTCGAAGTGTAGCTTAGGAGTTTTTGCCCTTAAGGCCACATTAATATTCATCAAAGGCCTGTGTTTAATGGGATTAAGTCTCCCGGCTTATAGACTGGCAATACTGCTCCATGTTCCTTCCACGCATACCAAGCAGACAAAACTCACCAAATGGAGTTGGCATGGAGATTTAAATTCAAAATGAGGCCTGGATTTACAAGAAGTCTTTGACAACTCAGCATGGGAAAGAATTTTGAATATCTACAGTACGAAGTGGGTTAAAGGTACACTTTTGGTATTTTGGTATAGTGGCTCTATAGTGAGATTTTAAAACTCAACTGTGAACTGTGTTGACTTATATAAACAGTGAGGGGGAGTTATTGGAAACTATATCAAAGTCAGGGAGTATATCTTTATGTACATACATGTAAAACATCAAAGCTTGAATTTCCCTCGGGATAAATAAAGTATCTATCTATCTATCTATCTATCTATCTATCTATCTATCTATCTATCTATCTATCTATCTATCTATCTATCTATCTATCTATCTATCTATCTATGTTTTGCTCTCTTGCAGCACCTTCCCAAGATACTGCAATACAATAAACTAACTGGAGACTGCAAGTTATATTTTTTCATTATCAACATAGTGTTATTGGTTCCACTGAGTTCCTGTATGTCAAATGATTTGTCCCAGAAAATATGGATCTCTATGTTTCTCCTTCCTTTGACATCTCTTTCTCTCTCAGTTTCAGTTTTTATTGGCGTTATTTAGTGAAAAACTAGATCAATTGTGTCTTAGTACCAGCTACAGGCCTCACTTCTGCACACGCTCAAGTACACACGTAATCAGAGCCAGTTTGATTTAAAATGCGGTTTCAGCAGATAAAAACTGTGTCTGTATGTGTGTTTACAGTGCGGGCCAGACTCCTCGTAAGGTGCGTCAGCATTACACTGGTGAACTGATGGATGTCTACTGTTCTCAGTGCAGCAAAAAGGTCAACCTCCTAAATGACCTGGAGGCTCGCCTCAAAAACCTAAAGGCTAACAGGTAGGACACATACACATGCACACAAACACACACAACACAGTATTACACAATATCTATAGCCGCTAAAGGCCAGTTGTTAGTACAACTTCAATAAGGAGTACCTTTGAGTAAAGGATTGTTACAGTTTTTTGCCATTTTCCTGACCTCAAACTTTTCCCTCGGACCACCATACTCATATTCTGACTGTAAGCCTGTCACATCAAATCTGATCACCAGCCTGTATTTGCTGACTGCAATTTTTCCTGCCACTTTTATTCAAATTAAACTTAATTTGACCCCGCATGGTGAAATATACCGTAGCAGCCACATAATAACCGAGTCAATACACAAAGGCTTCTAATTGAAAACAGGTAGGGTGACCTGTTTCTGTGAAAAATATTGTGTTATTTGTTCTGGCAGGTCATTTTTAGACACATCCACGGTCTTATAGAAGACAATGACTTAATTGTACATGACAGGAACTGTACACCACACTGCGATATCACGCTGTCAGCTATTATGTGTATTGTACAGGATTCGCACAGAGGCATTAGAAGTGTAGTGGTCCACTCGCATTCGACTGGTGAGGTTGAGTCAGGGGTCTCTGTTTGTGTTGGCTCTTTTTTAGTATAATGTAATAAGAGTGATGTAATATTCTTACAGAGGCGTTTAATGTGTTCCTCCTCCTCCTGTTTGATGCATGCACAAACATGCACACACACAAAGACTAACTGATTGTTATATAAGGCTGTCACTCCTGTGCTTGCCTCATCAACCATTGTAATTGGGAGTCTATTATTAGAAACATAATCCATGGTGACCATTAATAGCTCTACTGTCCACCTGCAAACACAAGTGCACACACACACACACACACACACACACACACACGCACACATACATACACAGAATTATTTGAGGAGACTAAATGTTGTATGTTTTTGAATATAGACTGTGGAGTCACTTTTTTTCTTTGTTATATAGACTCTGATGAGTCAGCAGGACCTATAATCTAACATGGCTCTCCTAATTAGATCCATGCTTTCTCCTTATGAATAATGAAGTAGAGATGGGCAGAAAGAAAGAGTTAGACAGTGGAAAGAGCAAGAATAAGAGAGTAAGTGAGATGTTATCGATTGGAAATATTAATTTGAATAGAGTGAGCTCATAGGAAGTGGACACGGGCTAAAAAGGGCGTTGAAAGGAATGGATTTTGATGAAAGATGAAATAAGGCATGGATAGAGGGTCATGTGGATGGGTGGATGGAATATAAAACTGAAAATTATACAAGGCACCATATAGATTAATTAAGAGAATTAAGGATTTTATGCAAGACTAAATGGATTCAGAATGGACAGGGGAAGGAGCTTTTTCCACTAAGCAGCATATAGTATTTAAAGGATCATTTGTGCAAGTCAAGCTCCTTTAAACAGAATTAATTTAGTGAAATTGGCCAAAGTGTCTTATGGGTATTTCATTTTAAATCGGGCATAGATGAGGAAAACATAGTTGCAATCATGCGAACCAAAGTCCAACCAAGGTTTTTGGACTCATGGAAGAATATATGGAATATTGGTGAGGTATTCATGTTAAATATCCTTTTTTTAGTACAGTATATCTCACCATGAGAGCATCTGTGCATTTAATTTACAGGAGGAAGCGATGTTAGAGGAAAAGTTTACAGTTAATGAGTTTATTTTGTATGTAAGTGCACCAGTAAATGAAAGACTGGAACTAAAGTACATTCACTTCCACACACGAATGTTGTTCAATAGTAAATGTGCAATTAATTACACGGATGAAAAGTTCAGAGATTAAAACTAAAGCAGAAATTCTGCTCCACAATTTGGCCTCTTAGACTTCTTCAAAGAGGACATTGGGTTAAGTGAAACATTGGCTGCAGGGGAATGATTTTGTCACTTAGGATTATACACTCTCTGTAAAACTTTGCTTCATCTAAATGTTGAGAGGATCAGCCTGTTAGACACCCTTGTCAGTTATTTCTTTGTACCACTCTGTTTTCCACAATCGCTGTCTGCGCTGAATATGAATATCTGAGCTCCACAGTTTACGTGATTGTGGAAGCAGAATGAGTGAATTTGTGTGGACCTTTTACCCTTTAAGTCGTGAGAATAGTATATGACACGATCGACTACAACCCCCATAATCATTAGCACCAGACACGTGTGATAGATAGAAATCTGCACAAAGCTATTTTACATGGATGCAACAGCAAACGTTTTGTATTTGCACAGCATAGATAGTTTTATAAAAAAATTGTAAATGTTACTGTCAAGCGCATCAACTGTCGTTTGTGTGACCCTGCAGTTTGCTCATTTTTGTTAATCCAATGTGAAACCCAGTACAGACAGACACATCAGGCTGAAAGAGTCTTTGGGCTTTTGTCCCCCTGAGACAGTTGCTGAGCTGACAGAAACCCCCGCTCACTGAACCAGGAGTGAAATTGTATTATCATTGACATGTCCTTCAGTGTTTCTTTCTTTCTCTCTCTCTCTCTCTCTCTCTCTCTTATTCCTACATGTCTGCCACACTGAAAAGCCAAAATCTTAGTTGCCATCAGCAACTCCAGTGCCTTGTTGAGCTATGTGTCTAGACATATCCATGGCAATTCACTGTCATTCACAGTCCTTTTGTTTTTCCCTTTGTAGCCCCAACAGGAAAATCTCCAGCACTGCTTTTGGAAGGTAGGTCACTCACCTGTGTGTGTGTGTGTGTGTGTTGTGTGTGTGTGTGTGTGTGTGTGTGTGTGTGTGTGTGTGTGTGTGTGTGTGTGTGTGTCGGGGTGGGTGTGTGTGTCCAAGTGTGCCGCTGTGTGTGTCTACACTCACTTGTACTGTGTGTGTTTATGCATTGTACAGCCTGTGTTGCACGTGTTTGATCTATCTGTTGGCCTAACAACACCAACACACACACACAGCAATATTAGTTGCTTCCTTATCAGTCAGCCCGACCGTTGTGCTCTAACATCCAGTTAATTACTAACCAACGTCTGGGTGGAATTAATCTGATCTAAAACCAGGCGTGCAGTAAAATCGTTTGTTTTTGAGTTGAGAAAAATAGCTTGGACATCAGCTTTTTCAGTGGCAGCCATGTATCAATTCATGTCCTGTTGGTCTGTACTGGCTGAAATGTTTTGTATCCAGGCTTTTGTTCTATTTCCACCCACAGTAACTGAGTTATAGGGACACAGTGAAAATGGCCTGTCACAGCTGATCTATGTATTCAATATAAGGTTTGGCTCGCTCCCCGTGTTCCTTCGACTGTCCTCTCTGTCTGGTTTGATTACTTCTTCTACTTTACTGCTTTCTTTATCTGTTCTTCTGTTCTTTCTCCTCTCTGTTTCCTCTTTTTTATGCCTCCATGCTGGCATTATGTTTTCGGATTGTTTGTCCGTACGTCTGTCCCGTTCTTGCTATATCTCGAAAACGCCTGCAGGGAATTTCATTACATCTGGCACAAACATCCACTTGGACTCAAGGATGAACTGATTAGAATTTTGATGGTCAAAGCTCAGGGTCACAGTGACTTCACGAAACACGTTTTTGGCCATAACTCAAAATTCCACAAATTATGATGTTTTATATCCAAAAGGTCAACGGTCAACTTCACTGTGACATCATAATGTTACTCAAAGTCCAAATACTGTATATTATTTGAGTCCGGACCTACATGTACAGTATGTAAAGTGAAAGTTGACTGAATGGCGGAGGCTTACAACCACAAGACAGCAATTTTAGTTTTATCTCCTCTCCTCTCCATATTGCTGCTAATCTCAGTAATGGATGAGCTTGCTGTTCTCAAGTTATTCCATCAGTGTAAAAAGGGGGGCAGCTGTAGTCACATTACCACATGAATGTCACAGTTGTATGTATCACAGCCAGATAAACACCTGTGTGTGTCTATCTGAGGCATCTAAAACAAGGGCTGTGTGTGTGTGTGTGTGTGTGTGTGTGGGGGGGGGGTGTACTAATTTTACCTCACTAAATGTATTTTCTGTTTGCACCACCTTCTCTGCTTGGCACTGTCCTTATAGTCCTATATCATCTGCATCACTGCAGGGTAGACCACACTTCCTTTCACTCTCTCTCTCTCTCTCACACACACACGCAAACGCACTCAGAACCAGCTGGTCCTCACCTGGATCTATTCCCGGCAGATTCTTTAAGTTTGTGTGTCTCTGTGTGTGTTTGAGCAGGCAGCTGCTTCACAACAGCAACTTGAGCAGCAGTAACGGCAGTACGGAGGACCTTTTCCGAGACAGCATCGACTCTTGTGACATCGACATTAATGAAAAGGTATCGATGTGTTAGTGTGTCCATATGTTGATCTTTGTCAGTCCTGTATTTAACTAAACTATTTTACAATAAGCATTGTACAAATGTTTTGGGAAGTAATTATAACCCTTTCTGTTTCTGTGTGACAACTTGAAACTCATAAAAGATTAAATATATCTCACTTTCAGCATTTTTACGCTCTTAGCACTAAAATCACAGAGTGAAGAGCTGTTCCTGGTGGATGCTCAGCTTAAGCGTAAGAGTGCTAATTCTTAGGATGAGCTCTGTCAGGATTCCTCTTACGTCTGCAAATTTAAGAAATAGGGTTATTATTTAAAAGCCTTTAAAACCTTGGAAACTCCACAATTACTTTCATGGAAAACCTTGTTGTTTAGTGGCAGTGTCTATTATTTTTCTTTATAAATAGATTCATTTTAGTTTTATCTCATGTGATATTTCTTGTTTTGCTGAGGGATATTTCCTCATTTTCATGCTGGCCAGCATTTTTTAGCATTTGTTTTTTGTTTCTGTCAGGTGAGCTCTCTGGAGAAGAAGGTGGCAGAACTCGAGAATGAGATTCTGATGAATGGTGATCTCAAATCCAAGCTGAAGCAGGAGAACACACAACTAGTACACAGGTAGAGTCAAAAATAGATTTCAAAAAGATTAATTTAAGAGCAAATAAACCCACCAGACCCAGAACCATATTATACAGATCATAATCTACTGTTTCAAAAATGAACAATTAGCTCAGTAATGGTATTTTATTCAATTAATTTTGTGTGACGTGTTCATCATCTCAGGGTTAATGAACTGGAGGAGCAGCTGAAAGACCAGGAGACGCGAGCAGAACAAAATCTGCAAGAGGAGCTAAGACGACACAGGGAGGCCTACAGCAAGATGGAGAGAGACAAGAACACACAGATAGAGCTGCTGACCAACCGGTGAGAAACACACAATAACCAAGCAAAGTAATGCGTAAATATGTATAATCTGATGCTGAGATACAGTTTAGGTTTGGGTTTTTTAATGTAAAGAGCTCAACTAGACAGCCTTGCTTTTAAATCCCCTGGATATGGATATTGACGTGTTTGCCTGTTAAGAGAAAATGCAGAATGTAAAACTGTATGCTAAACAGGGCTTAGAGATTCCTCCTGGGGTTAGTCAGTTGCCTCTGGAGCTACAGAATATACTGTGGAAAGCACCACTGTAAACTGGAGCTTTAGCTGACTATGAGACACACTCAGCTCGTATATAAAGGAAAACTGATCAAGAGAATTTTGCATTTTAGAGTTAAGCATCTGGAGGAGGAGAACAATGACATTGCTGTTAACATGGGCCGGCTCAAATCACAGACAGAGAAACTGGATGAGGTAAGCCATATTTACTTTTTGTCTTTCTTCGTATGTTTGTTACTTTTATCTTATTTGTCTTCTTATTTAAAGTGGAACTCCAACCACCAATTTTACATATCAATTATGTCTCTCAGGTTGTGGGGCATAAAAATATGCAAAAAGTTGCATTAAGTCTTTTGTGGCTAGAAGGGAGCTGTTTGAAATCTGATTAAGTGATGTAACTTTAAGCAGTCTAGCAGCTCAAGGCTACAATATTATAAGCTACATTACATTAGCCGCTACTAGGATAACACATCCGAATCTCTAACTGAAATGTCAGTGGTGGATCATTGTGGGTAATGTAAGAGCCAGGTTTTAACAATGAAGAAGAATGCATGTAATAAAAAAGACAATATCTCTGGTCAGCAGTGGCGCCAGTGAATTGTGATGTGGGGAGCTATGGAGGGCTGTATTTTTAATAGCAGGTGCTAATGAATTATAATGCAACAAACAACAAATAATGCTACGACAGAAAAACAAGACTGGGATAATAATTGAAATGCACATTACTACGTTTTTCTTTTGCATTATACAAAAGTAAGCACAGTTAATTCTGTGAAGTTAGAATTAAGAACAATTTCCCCTAGGGGATTAATAAAGTATATCTTCTTCTTCTTCTTAGGAAATCAAATGCATATGAAAAGTACATAGTCACCACAGAAAATATCTGGATTTACAAAATACTGTAGCTGTGAAAAAATACAACTGTAGCACTTGCTACAGTATGCTTGCAATAACTAAAGTACAGTACAAGTACCAACTTATGTATTTCACCGAATCAATTAGACACGTGTAGGGACTGAACTGGTAACATCACCAACCAGTAAGGATGCTCCGATTGATCGGTGTGTGAGACAGAAGTATTCTTCATCACAACACTGGGTGGGGAGGAGGAGCTTAGGGAACGTTGTCTCTGGTTCTTCTGCATCGATTTTCATAAATAGCTTTACCTGTCCTGACAGTTTTGTAGGAGTGCAGTGCTACATCGGTGTTCTCCTTTAACACATTCAGCTGATACTCTTATCTGAACGCTCGGTTTCTCTTTCTAACATGGAAGGTCTTTGTACTTTCCATATCCACACTTATTTACACAGTCCTACTAGCCCTTTCAAAAATATGTCGTTAATAGTCAAATGGTGTGTACACACTGGCAGAATGAAGAACTGTAATAACACTAAAGATGTGGTGTTAGAAACAGCCTTCAGGTGTTGAACAACACCTCTATTTTGAGACATCACCTATTTAAATGACACCAAACCAGATAGCTGTCAAGTCAAGCTCACAAAATGTGTGACCAAAAGAGGACACATAACTCCTTTGATACCAAATTTTTAATAGTATTCTGTATACGAATGTACAGTAGATATGTGTGAATGTCTTTGTTTTAAATTGTAAATACTATTTACAGTACAGGAATATTCAAATGTATGTGTGCTTACATTTGTGTTGGATTAGACATAACTGAAGCACGTAAATACCACTATAAAACTATAACAGTGTGTGTATGTCTGTCCATCCTCAGGAGAAGCAAAGGATGACAGACAAGCTGGAGGACACCAGTTTGCGCCTGAAGGATGAGATGGACCTCTATAGGAAAATGATGGACAAACTGAGACAGAACAGACACCAGTTCCAGAAAGAAAAGGACGCCATGCAGGAGGTGGGAGTGGACTATTTTATGCAATCAGACACAACGACAGAGTTGGTTGTTTGCTCTATTGCTCACTGCAGTTATGCCAGCTCATACACCTACACCTCCAAAATACTGCCCTGACATTATATAACACTGTTCATCCGTCCTTTCTCTGTGTAGCTGATAGAGGACCTGCGTCGAGAGCTGGAGCATTTGCAACTCTTCAAGCTGGAGACAGAGAGGCCAGGCCGCGGTCGCAGCTCTTCCTCCGGGCTGGCAGACTTCAACAGCAGGACCAGGGAGGTGGAGCTAGAACATGAGGTCAAAAGGCTCAAGCAGGTGATTGAAAGGCTCTGTTTAAATGTCTTTGTTGTGCATAGTCAGCCCAGTGAGTAATATAGCGACTAGACCTTGCTTTAAGATGTGGAGATAATCATAAAGAGCTTTCACATTGATTTTAGAGAGTGGGAAGCAACATGGCGCCTGCTGTACAGCTTTCTTAAATCTGTTGGTGTTTGCACAACTACTAGTCTGCAGGAAAGCTGTCATACATAAGAAATGAAAGGATTTTCAAAAATATCTAAACATGAGACTTCAGAGGGTAATCACAGCGAACCGGGATTGCTTTTCTGAAGATAATGCCTTGGTTTGGATGCAGCAGATACACAGAGAAGCTAAATCCCAAATCAAGCTACGTAATTATGCTTTCACAGACTGAATGCTGCTTATCATCATGGTTAATGATGATAAGCATTGGCTGACCAGATGTTTTTATTTTTTGAACAAATGACTTCTTTTCCTATGCTTGATCTTTGTGTCTCCATTTGACATTTTGTTCATGGTACATAGTACAGGTTGATTTTATTTTGTTGGCTTTTTTCAAATATTTCAACCATTTTACATGTTGACTAAGCATCATGCTACTTATCCGGTCAGTATCTTCAGGAATTTGCAATTTGTAATCGTCATAATAAATGCAAATTCATCTAATCCCTGGATTATTTCTAAAAACAGATTTTTCAAACAGTCTTTTTGTCAAACCATCCTTTTCTTTTGTCGTTTTTTTGGGGTGGAACTGCAACTAAACTGCTTTATAACTATACCGTAAAACAGTATAGTTATACAGCAATACAATCCCCTTTTTATATTATAACCCATCTGGAAGTTCCTGGGAAGACATACTTGGACAGTGATTCAGATGATACACAAGATTTATAATCTTACTTTTCTAGGACGTATAATGATATACATTTAACAAAATAAACTGGTTTATGTACTACCAGAGGAACATTAAATGCACTGATTTCAAAAACCAAGCCTCACACTTTTGTTATTTTCATAGTTGCAGATGCCAGGTGCACGCTATGTGGCACTGAAACAGGGTGGGTTTAGGTAGGATATATTATCATACATTACCAGTGGAGTTAGGAGCTTGTAACGATCACAGGCAATTACATTGGCTCCTCTCGTTCCCTTAAAATCCCCTTTAAAATCAGCACACTGTCCTAGACATGTTATACTGATGGTGATGGAATGGAGAGATCACTGGAGCTTAGTTTGCTTGGTCACAATTTATAAGAATAGCTGCAGAGTGCTTGTGATTCAGTAGTTTCAGTATTCCTAGATACAATGACTTGAGGTATCTGCCTCCCACAGTTAGAGGCTCAAATGCCAAGTTACTGTTATCGGTCCTGCAAAGTGTACCAACCTGGTGCAGAGTAAACATCAGAGATAAGGGAGTAGATGAGAGTGTTTTTCAGATGTCCTCTCTGATAACACTACTACTTTCTGAAGTTGTACAGAAGCCTGTGTCTGACTCATTTTTATGACATGTGATGATATGCATTAGATATAATGCTTCCAATTTCCTAAACCAGCAGAAAAGGCAATACAAAGTTATGAAAACCGCAGAGCCTTGAAATAACTCTGTAAGTGATACATAGTCAGTTATAATTGCTGATTTGCACAGTGTATGCATCTTTTCAGGGACTAAGATGATAAGGTCTGTGTTCTCCTGTAGCCTCAGACCAAACTTATCTCTTTAAGTGCAGGCAAGCAAGAAGGGAAATTATAATAATGGGTTTTCTCTGAATATATCAACTTACTATCCTGAGATACTTCAATTCAATTTTATTGTCCGTCATTCGGACAATTTATATTGGTCTCTGTAGGTAACAGCTCTACTTTGAGAGATGCTGCACTGTGACATCCACCAGGATAGGCTCACTATCTTATGCTTGCCTGTGCACCTCTGTAAATGTCTGTATGTGTGTGTGTCCAGAGATTTGTGTCCCAGGACTTTCTTCCCCCTGAATTCCAGCACCTGGTGTTATCTGGGGCTCGGCTCCGTCCTGGTCTGATGGTAAAATTGCTTCTGTGACCTTTGACCTCCCGATTAACCACTAATCACAATGGAGTAGAGTGAATTTGCCCGAGCTGAATTGGGGTCAGTGCTGCAGTCCCCTCACTAATGGCTCAGGATAGAATGAGGGAAGAGCAAACTGACCTCTTGTCAGCACTCAAAGGCAACCTAATCATGGAGCTTTCATAACACACCAGACAAAGCAGGGGAGCAGTTTGTTCTGTAACACGCATAACCCATGTTATGTCCTTGTAGGTGTTACCAAAATAGTTGCTGTGTTTGTTGCTGGATGAGGTGCCAAGTGTGCAGTGTGTCTGTCACATGGGTTGAGTGAGGCTTGAGTAGCAGCCATTTTTAAAAAAGCATCATCACTCCCGATACACTTGTGTCTTGGTCCAGATACTTATCGCATTCTCTTCCTATCACTCTCTCCTCTACCTCTCACCCTGATTCTGTATTTTAGGAGAACCAGAAGCTCAGGGAGCAGAACGATGAGCTCAATGGCCAGATCCTCAGCCTCAGTCTGTATGAAGCCAAGACCCTGTTTGCTACACAGACCAAGGCCCAGTCTCTAGCTGCAGAGATAGATAATGCCTCCAGAGACCAGGTAAATATCACATGTAGTAGTAGTTTATAAACTGTATTTCTAGGAAATATCCCAGTGTTCTAGATATTACATTATTGTAGAACTTGAATCTAATATGCATAAGATGGAGGCCGTCACCATGACTGCATCTCACACACAAACACTGACCAAATACTATGGAAATAAGCCAGATCCATGGAATAACTATGAAATATGTGTTTACTGTATGGCAACATTAGAACTGAAACAATTTCCAGATCCTATTTTGTGATTTTTAGTGATGTTTTGTTTAGGATTTTGTGACATTTTATAGAGTAAATGATTAATTGGTAATTAATAAATGCAAAGAATGTTGGGGAGCTTAATTGATAATGAAAACAATTGTTAATTATTGCCTTAAGCAACATTCATGTACCTGATTATAGCAGGTGTAGCCATAAAAAAAATATTTATTTATTTTATGTATTTGTTTATACGTAGCCAGACTAGTAAAAAGAAGCAGAATATTCTAGCTGTAACAAAAGTCCCAGAGGTAAAAACTCTTGTATTATAATAGTTAAAAACTACAGCTGGTGAGATAATAGTTCACCTTGTTGATAAACTGGAAAGAAAATGTGTTTGACATACTTCTCTCTCCCCAGTTAATGGAAGCCTTGAAGGAGCAGGAAGAAATAAACATACGTCTGAGACAGTACATGGACAAGATCATCTTGTCCATTCTGGACCACAACCCCTCCATCCTGGAGATCAAGAACTAACAGCGACTCAACTGGAATGAGAATCGTTTCCCGGTCTCAAGAGGCTCATTCCAGTTGTTTGATCAGAACCTGCAACCCGGGTCTGGAATCTGTACAGAAAAGGAGAGAGAACCAGAGCCAGTCTTACGAACGTATAAATAGACACACATCGCCCCCTGCTGTTTGTGGCGGGAGAGGACTCCTCTTACAGAGAAGATAGAAAGGGATTCTGCAAACTAAAGGGAGTTTTCTAAAGGGTCATACGACTGTGACTCTTCAGCTTGATCTACCCTGCTCTGTTTTTATTCACTGTCTCTGCTGTAAACTGTAGCCACTGTCACAACTTTGAACTTTCTTCACAGGAATATCCTGGCCCCCAACATACTCTGAGGATGGACAAAGTCGCTCAGTGTAGTACACTGGGCATATGTACCTTGTGCATAATAACTGGAACAATGTAAACAAACCTGACGTGGGTTCTACTGTATCCTGGTGAAATATGAACTGTATTATACACAGATAGACAACTTGATCCGACGTAGAGAGAAACAGTCGTGTGACGGACAAACAAGTTGGCAAAACCCGACTCTGAGAGGTATGAAGGCAGACCAGTCGAGTGTTGCCTGATCCATAAACTGTCCATATTTTCTCCTCTGTCATGTAGGTGTTCTCTGAATGTTGGTGATGTATTTGGATAGGCACGTTTTAAGAGACATTAGAGAAAAGTGGCAAGTGGTCAGAGAAAGAAAACAATGAGAAGAACCCCTATAAATACAAAGCGAAGTGGAACATTTTAAGTTAGAAAGGAAGAGGAAAGCATGTCTTCCCTAAAGAGGTGGGGAGTCAGATGATGGGCCGTGTATGCTAGCAAAGGAGGGTCTTAGTAAAGTCGATGATGGCTAATCGAAGGTGAAGATTTTTGCTTTTGTTTATTCTCGAGAACATGTCTTCCAGTAACCTTGCAACAGCACTTGCAATGTCAATCAGCCAGTAGTGAATAGCTTTCACTGAGAAGTGGCCCTTAGTTGGTTCAGACGAGTAGTCGAGTGTCACTTTAAGGAGCAGAAGCTGCAACCAAGGAGTGTCTTTAAACTGTAACTTCCATGGCTGCTATTTGCTAACAATACATGCAGCTTGCAAAAAGGTACATTGTTGCTAGCGATAGACCCGATGATGTTGTACAGAATTGTAAGGATATGATTGTACAGGTGTGTGACTGGTAGCCATTGTAACATGGTTTACTGAATCATCTCTCTATGCTCAGTGAAATCATCTCAGATATTGTACGTGAGCATGCACAGGAGACTCACTTTTTGGTACGAAAGACTGGATTAGCAATCTCACTGAAGCATACAGGTTGTTTTTAAAAGCCCAGATAGCTCTCAGAAACCCTCTAATACTGTAAATATCATGAATGTACAACTGGATATTTCACTTTCTGTGTGGCCAAAAAAGGCTTTTTGAATTTAAATTGCTGTAATTGGTCGAGATATGTTGTCGTACACGTGTACAGTATTCAGTACTGTAATGAAGAGGGCATTGTTTGGAGAGGGGGAACAATTACAATCTGCTGTATTATGTAATTATTCTAAACTTGAGTTTTGCTTCCTTGCACAAAAAAAACAACAAAACGTTTTGTTTTCTTTTGCATGGTTCACCTTTTCTTCTGTCTGTGCCTTTTGAGGACATTTTCAAGATGATGTTGCTATAGATTTACATAGTTTTTTGAAGCTACATTCTATGTCTATGTCTGACATATTTTCTTGACATATTGTAAATGTTGTAATTATATAGTGATAATTTGTATTCATGTGCCACTCACCACTCTTTTTCAGATTGTTACTATGAAAACTATTTTATACAGTTTTATCAAGAAAGAACTTGTGATTGCTTAGCTGTCCTATTAGAAAAGTGATATAGCACAATTCTTTGTATGGTACGCAGGCCAGGTTAGCATTTTGGGAATATTTTTTTCAATGATTTTTTTTATTGGGGGGGTGTTTTGTTGCATTTCTCAGTTTTTTGTTAGTCGCGGTGAGTCCATTGCTTTTAACTTTGCTGGCTTTTTACATGGTTGCAAACTGTCTTCCTAACTTAAACTAAATGGTGAGCATTATGAGCAATATTAACTTATTTACCAATACCTGCTGATTTGTGTCTTGTTTGCTTCACAAATCTTTTCACTCTATAGCTGCTCATACCATTCTGGATTTTAAAAGAATTAAACGGTACATCAAGCTGTAAAATTGGTCATAAACTCATTTCTTGTAGCTATTAAATTTTGACTTATTAGGGCTATCCAATGCAATGTAGTCACTATAAATAGCAATAAAAATGGCTTTGGCAGTGATGCTGTCTCATGAAATCCTTTTAAAATTACAGTTATTTTTCCCCAATTCCATTTATATAGACTATACTTTCTAAAACATGAAACCACTTATTCTGTGCCTACAGCTGCTGTTGTCTTAGTGTGTTGTACATACTGAGCAGTAAATAAAAACCTTTGAGCTGACATTAAAAGAACCCATTTCTATCCAGTTACATGACATACAATTTAAGTATGTGTGTATTCCACACTTTGATTGTGACAATTTTAACAGCACTGATTAGTTATATTCATGCTCATTCCATTAGCTTTGTATATTCTCATTATTGTGTCTTGGATATAACAATATAACAGCAGTATGACTGGAGTTGAAAGACATACTAAGGGAGGGACACGTCTATCTTGTAATCAATATGTGATGGGTTTAATACATTACCAGCCTGCGCTCTACTGGGAAGGCTTTTAAAAACCTGGCTGCATGAATTTTCTCTAAATTAGTCATTATTTTAGATTATGTTAGATTGGTGGTGGTTTGTCCTGTTTGCATGGGAGTCAACGTGACAAACAGCTAATGGCACTAAAGACAAAGACATACACTACCAGTCAAAAGTTTGGACACACCTTCTCATTTAATGGTTTTTCTTTATTTTCATGACTATTTACATTGTAGATTCTCACTGAATTATGTAGTAGACAAAAAGTGTGAAATAACTCTAACTATATTTTAGATTCTTCAAAATAGCCACCCTTTGCTTTGATTACTGCTTTGCACACTCTTGGCATTTTCTCGATGAGCTTCATGAGGTAGTCACCTGAAATGGTTTTCCAACAGTCTTGAAGGAGTTCCCAGAGATGCTGAGCAGTTGTTGGCCCTTTTGCCTTCACTCTGCGGTCCATCTCATCCCAAACCATTTCAATTGGGTTTAAGTCAGGTGACTGTGGAGGCCAGATCATCTGGTGCAGCACTCTATCACTCTCCTTCTTGCTCAAATAGCCCTTACACAGCCTGGAGGTGTGTTGGGGTCATTGTCCTGTTGAAAAATAAATGATGGTGCAACTAGACGCAAACCGGATGGGATGGCATGATGCTGCAGGATGCTGTGGTAGCCATGTTGGTTCAGTGTGCCCTCAATTTTGAATAAATCCCCAACAGTGTCACCAGCAAAACACCCCCACACCATCACACCTCCTCCTCCATGCTTCACGGTGGGAACCATGCATGTAGAGACCATCCGTTCACCTTTTCTGCGTCGCACAAAGACACGATGGGTGGAACCAAAGATCTCAAATTTGGACTCATCAGACCAAAGCACAGATTTCCACTGGTCTAATGTCCATTCCCAAACAAATATCTTCTGCTTGTTGCTTTTCCTTAGTAGTGTTTTTTTAGCAGTTATTTGACCATAAAGTCTCCTCTGAACAGTTGATGTAGAGATGTGTCTGATACTAGAACTCTGTGTGGCATTCATATGGGCTCTAATCTGAGGTGCTGTTAACTTGCGATTTATTTCTGAGGCTGGTGACTCGGATGAACTTATCCTCAGCAGCAGAGGTGACTCTTGGTCTTTCTTTCCTGGGGCGGTCCTCATGTGATCCAGTTTTGTCGTAGCGCTTGATGGTTTTTGCGACTGCACTTGGGGACACATTTTCCAGACTGACTGACCTTCAGTTCTTAAAGTAATGATGGACTGTCATTTCTCTTTACTTAGCTGATTGGTTCTTGCCATAATATGAATTCTAACAGTTGTCAAATAGGGCTGTCAGCTGTGTACCAACCTGACTTCTGCACAACACAACTGATGGTCCCAACCCCATTAAGAAGGCAAGAAATTCCACAAATGAACCCTGACAAGGCACACCTGTGAAGTGAAAACTATTTCAGGTGACTACATCATGAAGCTCATTGAGAGAAGGCCAAATGCTTGCAGCGCTGTCAACAAAGCAAAGGGTGACTAATTTGAGGAATCTAAAATATGAAACATATTTAGAGTTATTTCACACTTGTTTGTTCACTACATAATTCCATGTATTCATTCATAGTTTTGACGCCTTCAGTGAGAATCTACAATGTAAATATAAAATAAAATAAATAAAATAAAATAAAGTAAAACCATTAAATGAGAAGGTGTGTCCAAACTTTTGACTGGTAGTGTATATGTCTATGAATCGGCGCAAATATGAGTGTAATAGCTGATGGGCAGCAGAGAAGTGGGCTGTCCTGCAGGAGTTGTTTCGAGAAGTTGCTTTTGTGCCGGTAGGGGTCACTGTTGGATCAGGAACTTCTCTGACTCTAAGATCAGACTCACGTCTCAAGCATTCATGTGGTTTATGTTTGATACTTTAAACAGTTTCAAATGGGGCAGTCCCATATAACGCAATTTAAACTGTATATAAAGACTCAGCTCTGTCAAATATGACATTTTATTTGTGTGTCGCCCCCTAATGGCGGATTATTAGCCTCCCGTACAGCGTACATCCCATTACCAACACCTGCCCGCGGAGGTGTCGAAGTCGGTCCCCCCCCCGGTCGGTGTGTGCTACACGGGGGAAGGCGTACTTCAGGGTACAGTACAGGTAAGCGGTAGCTATCTAAATTAAATTGAAGGTAGTTAGGAGAGTTAAGTTAAGGGGTTGTTGTGTAGCTGTCTGCTGTATGTTGTTAACTGTATTGTTAAACACATTTAACGTCACTGTCAGCAGCTGTCAGTCACAACCACGATAAAACGTTAGCTAACGTACAGCTAACGCTAGCTGTACACAGAGTCAGTGTTAGCTGTCTTTTATCGGGGTCGGGGAAAACACTTAAATGTACTACTGAAAGTAAACTCTCTTGTTATTATTCTTTTTTTATTCATGTTAACGTTAGCTCGGGAAGGATGAATCAACATGTATCAAACAAAGAAGGAGAGTTAATTAGGTAGTTCAGGGTCAGCGTCACAGTGAAGTGAGTTTATCAATAAAGACTGATAATTCACACTAAACGTAAATATTTGTACTAGACCTAATTTAATTACTTTTTTTTTTTTTTTAAAGGCCAAGTTTTATTCAAAATCAATCTAGGACACAGTAAGTGCAAAGGGAAGGATACTAGGATTACTACTGTAATTCCTATTTGAACGATAAATGGCTTATATACTACATTACCCATACGCCTTAGCTATTGTTGCTATGGAGAAGCCAAGCAGATGCGTGATTCAGACTGCACCATAGTTGTTTAATATGTCTAACATTGACTCAGAATCCAAATGATGTAGTTTGGTGATCAGACTGTTCTCTCTGAAATGCTCCCATTGGAGCTGTAATAGTCATTTTTTTCTATCAACAAACCACAGATTTTCTAGTGTTCGTAGTTTCATGCTCATCCAAGCTTTGGGAGTACTCTAACCTCAAGTCATCAAGCATTTATATCATCAGGTTTATGCAGAAAATGAACAGGACCTTTACTTCAATAACCCTGGAAGCCACTGAAAACCTATTTGGGTTATTTGAAGTGTATGTTAAAAAAGACTACAACGCAGGCTGTAAGTTATATGTACTGGTTTTTAGTAATTATTATTAATTATGAATCTGTTTGTGATCAGTGAACCATCTTTTGTTGTAAAAAAGTTAATCTTATTTAGATTTGAAGTATCCCGGTTTGTTTTCTTTTATTCTTTGCGCTTACAGGGTTTACTATACGTTACAGGTGACGTGATGCCTCAGAATGATATGAACTATGAGGGCAGAAGAAGAGGAATGCGTTACGGTGCCTGTAAAGCCAACGGCCAGGTCAGCGGTCACGTCCCACACAGAGCTGTGGTTAATGGAGCCGTTGTTGACGTCGGCTCCCCGGATGCTACCGCCAGAACCAGCAAGAGGACACCAGCTGGCCCACTGAATGGTGCCAAACCACAATGCATGGTTAATGGTTATATTAACCATGGGTGCAAGGGCAAGAGTGTGAAAGCACCGCCGCCAAGGACACTCAGGAAACAAGGAAGCACAAATTCAGCTGTCACTGATGCCTCAGCAGCTCGCTGTGTCAGTAGTGCAGGCATTCCACGTAGTATCGCAGTGAATGGGGACACCAGTCTAGACGCTGTTGCTTTGCCCTCTAATTCTGACCAAAAGGCACCAGAGCCCAGCCCGTCTGCAGCAGCTAAGAAGCCGAGAAGATGGAAGAAATTCCTACCTAAAATGAGGTGCGCCACTTACCTTACAGCTGCTTTGAATTAATCTTTCAGTCCAAAGTGTACATTCATGCATAGTTACACGCTCCTGACAGTTGAATCTCCCCTATGTGACTTCACTGTGAGCTGTTAAAATGGAAATGCATCTGTTCTGTCCGACAGGCGATTGAAAAACACTTCCTCACTGTGTTTTTGGTGGGCCTGCCAACTTTATGAACTTGTAACTGACAGTGGAGATATTGAATGCCTGAAGTTTCATTTTGGGCTACCGACTGTCTTTTTTTAACTTTATTTTATTTTTTTGGTGACAAAAACAGAACATACAGAACAGAGGACAACCAACAGGATCATTGTAGGTAAGGTGAAATGCTGGACATCATGTTAAAAACAGGAAATGGAAGATAAGCTGGGTTACATTGCAGTTCATTGACTTTGATTCACGCTAAGCCAGGATTATTTTAAGGGTACATCATAAGTGCATTCTTTTGTCCTTAGTCAGGTAGGAAATTTTAAAAAAAAGTTCTCTCAAAATAAAAAATCACTCCAGATTCAAATAAGATTTCCAGTATTTTTCGCATATTTTTAGTGGCACTTCCCAGAGAAAGATTCTGCCATTCCATAGTATAAATTTCCTAAACTATTTATATCCATTCAGGGATTGTTGGAGACTTTGTATTCACCAGTTTCCCCATTTCCTGCCTGCTAGCAGTATTTGTAAATGCATTTTTAGCCCAGTTGGCACATTTCCCAAATACATAACACTGAACTTTAACTCAAGCTCTGGACTGATTATTGATCTGATCTCTGTTACCATGTCTCCTTAGTAAGAAGAAATGTTAGGACTCTCCCAAGGGCTACCTACTGTCATAAGAGTTGTGCAATGCAATAGTAAAGGGCAGCTGGATTAACCTAGGATATTAGACAGAAATGACAAGACGAAACAACATGGTAGAGGCCAGGGAAGAAAATGAGAATGAAAGATGAGGACGGTGAAAGTGATAGCCATTAAAAAAAACATAATGTAACAACAGAACATATAATATTTTAAAATAAATACAAAAATAAGAGAATAAAAGCCATAAAAATAAAATAAAGTACAAAGACAACATCACATAAAAGCAAGTCTATGTCTGATTTAAAGGAAGTCACTGGTTCTGCAAGCAGAGTGGTGCAGTGTTTCCTCTATGCTGATTTTGGAGCGGCGGCCCGCCACTGTTAAATTTCTGCTGCCACGGTATCAGAAATGGGGCAGACGCACAATGTAGTCACGGTTGCTTTTTAAATGATCCTGCCGACATGGGGGCTGTTCGGACGGGCCTGCCCCCACTGCTAAAATAAATCCTAGAGGAAACACTGTGGTGTCAATATTTTAATCTTAACAAATGTTTCCAAAATGTAGAACTATTCCTGTAAGTGCTCCCACTGCCTCCCTGACTAAATATTTCATGAAAATGTATTGACAAGAAACAACCCCAGTGTCAGATAATCAAAAAATAATGTATGTGAACATTTGGATAGTTTCCCTTTGTGTGCCTGCAAAGATGAAATGCTCATTTGAGACCTGTCAATCTTTTGTAGAGCCTCAACAATGCCACCACAAGAGGAGGAGGACTGGGAAAAGGAGATCCAAGAGGTCACACTGACTGACTGGGAGAAGATGTGTTTTGGCAACCTACCATATGGTAAAGACAGGAAAAAAAGATTTAAATATTATATAATATAATCTCTCCCAACACGGCACTGTACTGATACTATATACTGATGAGAAGGATAATTGTAGTATTGTTTTTACCACTGCAGTCACATTATGAAACTAAAAATGCAAGAAATTACAAAACTATTTATCACATTCATGTACAGAAAATGCTTATGCTTGTGGTCATTGTTTGGGATCTCAACTGGCCGGGACCCAGTGGGACCTACAGGAGTGTACCTGGACAGAATGATTTGGATATGAGCTCAAAAATGCTATGAGGAAACGTTAGTAACGGCCAATTTCAGCTTTCTTTCAAGGTTTATCTCGCAGCAAGCTCGTTCCACTCAGGCTAAGGTTCGGCTTCAAAGCTATTTTTAGGATTCAGGCCAGGCTGAGTGTTTTACTGGTATTCTGTGCCTCCGCCAGGTCCAGAAGATTTGCTCCATTTTTCTCTGCGGGATTTGACACTTAAGCAAAGGGACACAGGTTACCTGCCGGTGACAGCCAATTACAGCCCAACCGTACACCACCCACGCCCTGTCCGATGGTCCTCCTACAACATGCCCACTGTGCCAGAGCAGTTCGCAGACGCTGACGAGTAAGCCGGACATATGCTGTGAGGGGATTGGTAGAAATCAGTGATCACATACCAACATTACTAAGGAGTTCTGTTGTAAATGTAGTTAGCCCATATTGTTAGATTTTCCAATTTCGGGGAATCTGGATAGTAACCATGCTCAGATTATTTGTTTAGTCAGTGTCTGTCTTTTTTTCCCCCTCATCTAAAACGTTAGTGGAAGAAATTAAACTTACTCTAGTTTAGCATCAAAATCAAATGCTGTTAATGCTGTCACGGGTCAGAGAGTGTAGGGTGGATTCTAGGTTGCAGTGAGGTTATTTTTTATTATTGTAGGTTTTATTTTATCATTTATATTGAGATTTTAGATTTGTTTTATATCGCGTCATATTAATTTGTTAAGCTTCTATGATCTTAAGGAATGATTTTAGCTAGCTCTCATACTTTGCTGTTGTACCCTCTTTAGTGACTGTTGTTACTGAGTATGGTCATGCATTTGCTGTTCTTCCATTTAATATCTTCATAATTTTGCTAGTCTTCCAAGAACTGAAATAATAATTTTTATCTAAAGGTTTTTTGTGTTTTTAAAATGCCTGAAATGGGAACACTGTTGTCATAATAAGTTGCTCTTTCGAGCTATGCGATCAACTTTATTGTTTATAAATTGCACATTGTTCACAGCAAATGAAGTAACTATTTTAATTTTGGGCAGCCAGCCTACCTGAGAAATTATGGTTTAATTATGTAAAAACAGCAAATCGTTATCTGCTTGTTCAGACCTTCATTTTCACAACCACAATAAATCCAATTTTCTTCTACCTTGTGGTCAAATCGTGCATGTTTATCTCCACTAGTGGCTCCTCCAGTTAAAATGAGCCTCAACGGTGTAGCTGGGCTGTTTTGAGTCCCATTTTACAACATAAACCAACATATTTGCTCATTTTGCCTAGTTTAATCTTTTCTTTTTTAGAAGTGATGACAACTTTTGGCCACTAGATGGGAGAGTTGGTGTATTCCACACGCTTATGGGAGTTCAATGGGTTCATTCCCAAGGACTTGGGAGACACAAGCACTTGCTTGCATACTGTTCAAACCTCATTTCTCCCTGGAGTTTTATTCAGAATGCAACTGAAGATGGAGGCAACTGTCACTAAGCTGATTAATGTCATCTAATAATTCTAAACCATTCACAGACACCATGTCAATAATAGATTGTGGTCATAATCTCTCTAAAGTCGTGTTCTCTGATGAGACTTTGCAGTTGAATTTTAGGAAGAGCTCTGGGTTTGCTTTCTTTTTTCAAGCAAAGTATGCAACATCAGATCCATCACTATCAAAGAAATGAAGTAGCGTTTGATGTTCCCCAGCCCTGTGAGTTTCACTGTTGATGTTGAGGGAAAAAGTGACTGGAGGAGTGGTGTTGATAGGGAAAGCTTGTGATATCGTTGTACTTTTCTGTTATTTGTCGAGACTGCTGGAAGCTGGGGACTGAATGGTCACTGAGTACCTTGTGTGTACCATTGAACTGTTCATAGGTGTTTCAGACAGTTAAAAATGGAGAAAATACCACGATGTGTCTCAGTCATTACCACTATTCAATCATAGCAAGAAGTTGGAGTTTACATGTCCTGTGTTTCTGTCTGAAGACATGGAGGTTGGATGCAGTGAAAATACTGTGTGAATGTGAATGCATTTCTTTGTCTGTTTATTATGTCCTTAATGAACCCTGCCTCTCGATCAAGCAGGGATAGCCCTCAGCCCATCTGCCCCTGAACAGGATAAGTGGTTCAGAAAATGGATGGATGAGAAGAGCACAATGCCTATCAAACATTTAGAATTCGAAATAAATTATTAATGTTATCAATCGATAATTTATGGACTATAATTATCGGAATAATGCACAATAATATACATTTCTTATTGTTGAACAATAATTTATCAGCCCAGATGATTATTGTGCATCCCAACAAAGTACACAGCAAACTACTTTTTAAGATGTTTTTTGTAATTCTAGGTAGTTCTGTTCATTTTTCTGAAAGATTTGGTTTTAATTTCTAATAATAATAATAAGTGATGCTATAAAAACTGGGGTTTCACATCACTACTGTGAAGACTTTAGCTCCAAATGACATCACCAGCAAGATGGCAGCGCCTCTATCCGGGATTTTTTGGCTTCATTTTTGTGGAGTGGGAGGAAGTGGAGACATGTCGTCCATCTTTTTATACAGTCAGTGGTCTGAATGTTAAGTTTAATCGGTGTTTGTCTTTATCTGTTTGAAGCATTAGCTTCCAGGAAGCTGACCCACACTGATTGTCATTGTTAATTTACTTCACCGGTGATCATTCGTTGCAAACTTGGCTAGCCCTAAAGTGAAAATCCACTCCAGAGCAGAATTCACATATGTTATTTGTTTGATCTTAGACAGCTTAATAAATATTTGTGAGCATGAATAACTGTCTCCTAAATCCAGAAACCATAAAACCCAGAATCTAATTTGTCATGTCATCATGAGAGATTAAGTCTTGTAGCTGGTTCTTTGACAGTGTTACACTGTCACTGTTTTCACTTTCATGTGACCTATTTTGTTTATAAGTAGATGCTATTCAAGAAAAATGTGCCTGTTTCCTCATTCCTCATTCAAAGTTCCCCTCAACCCCTATCAATCTGTTCCCAAAACCCATCTGTTATTCATTCTCATTGGAGCAGCTTACATTCTGTGCTTCGCTTTTAGCTTTGCGAGCATGTTTCACATTCACAGTTATTTGACTAAATCAGCATCATTAAAAAAAAGGTGTGTTTGCTTTGGATTTCCCCTTGAATGCTGCAGTAGCTATAATCGTCTTGCATTATAATTTGGTGGGGGTGGTATCAGAAGTACATTGTTAAGAAATAGCGCGTCACATAAATGTTGTAATCCTAGCGAGTGATTAATCCCTCCATATGTCTCAATGGACCCTTTCTCCACATCCTGTGTTTGGACAAATAAGCAGACACACTGGAGGTATTGTGAACCAGCCCTGCTTGTCCTCCTGCGTCCACGCTGCAGTTATGGTATGGGTCAAGTTCAGCTTATTGGTAATACACTACGTTATATTCTTATACTGATAACCAGGTAGACTTTGATTATATTAAAAGTTTAATTTCCCAGTGCTGAGGTGGCTTCGGGAAATTAGCTCCAGGCCTTTAGCAGCACATTTCTCAGATGTGAATCACCACCAGTTATTCATCTGTTTCCAGTGGGCTCAGTCATTTTGCATTCAGCGTCTTGATTGATCTGGCAACATAATGGTTTGTTAGCCTGGCACAGGAAGAGACCCAGGAGGAGACAGGAAGGAGGATTGTGGTCAGCTTAACCTCCTGCAGCTAAACAAAGCGAACACACTGCGGAGAGACATTTGTCACAAAAATCAATGTTATTCAGACCTTGCGGTCCTAAATTGCTAATCTTTCCTGTTGTTAAAGCCTCAGCCAAATGTCCAGCCTAGTTGTAGGTACAGGTGGTAACTTCAGGTCAACTTAAATGACAAGTCTGGTGATATTATACTGTATGATTTCCTTACTGTAAACAAATGCCATGTCAAGACCAAAACCAACAATTAATTGCTGATAAGAGCAGTGGTTCGCAAGCTTTCTGGTGTCAAGGACCCCAGAATTGACATACATCAGGCCGCGGTCCCGTATTCGATAACATGTGGTCTCAGGGGTCTCCATGTGATAAGTTATTGTATAACTATCTATACTATAGATTGGCAGATTAACAGTGAAGACTTTGAAACCTATGAACAGAATAGTAATTCTTTTACATTTTCTTGTTGGGCTAACTTTTATGTGAACCCCCTCAAGGACCCCTGGGGATCCCTGGACCCTAGGTTGAGAACCAGTGCACTAGAGAATCAAATGTGTAGTAAAGGTCCAGTGTGTAACATTTACGAGGATCTACTGGCAGACATGTAACATAATATTCATCACTATGTTTTCATTAGTGTATAATCGCTCTTTTTGAAACCTTAGAATGAGCCGTTATTATCTACAGAGGGAGCAGCTTTTCTTCCACAGAGGCCGCCATCTTGAGCCAGTACAGTAGTTTCTACAGTAACCCAGAACGGATACACTACATGAGTGAGGCAAGGGTGTTGTATTGTGCAACTTTTTTAACACTTAATCTTACACGCTGCTCCCTTAATCCACCAGTTAAAATAGTTTGCACAATGCACTCCTGTTTGAGTAATGTTTGTTAGAAATACAGTTTTAACAAACAAAACTGTATATTTGTGACCCTTTTTTAAAAAAGGAAAAAGAAAGATTTTACAAGTTCTTTTGGAAACAATGGGCATCGGGGTGCCACAGAGAGTCTGGGGAATTCAAGAAGTACTGAGAGATGTGTTGGTTTTGGTCTCTTTGTGGGATTTGTTGTAGAAAACCTAGAACATGAATGTGATGGTCATTCAGTTTTGAGCTTGGGTATCTATATATATATTAACAGATTCACAAAACTACAACTTTTCACATTAGAGTGCACAAATCCATAATATATAATATCATATAGAATATCATCCTAATCATAAGCTTTTACGATAACCTTACCAAAGTAAACTTAGCCTAAACAAAACAATGTAACCAAATATTGTATATGTGGCATTTTATAACAGTATGCATCAGTCCCACTAATCCAAAGGGCTTTATTGATGCAGGGTGTAATTAGCTCACCACTGGGAGCAATTACCACCAAAGAAATTCCTCTGTTCCTTCACATACAAACAGTAACTAAAATGTGCTGTATCAATAGGACCTGTCCCCCTTCCATCTCCTTTAAATGACCTCCTGCAGTGGATGATAAATTGTACACCCAGTTCAGACAGGCTTTTTATTTCTCCTCTGTGACTCACCTACAGTCATGGCTTTTTCATCTCTCCTCTCTGTGTCCGGGCATTTCCGTGCCTTCCCTTGATTGATATTTTAACGGTATGCTGGCAAGCACAGAAAGATGCCTGTGGTTCGCTAACCACAGCCAGAGCTAACCAGCACAAAAAAACATTTAAAAAAATTGGCTGTTTTGAGGAGTAGGGATTCCGGTAAATTAGAACAATTATCTGCAGTCCACCAGTGAAACTGGTAAAAGATGGAAACTACAAGGCCCTTTTGGAAAATTTGCCTCAGTCAGGAGAACCATGCAAGTGTTACGACATTTTCTTTTCCTTTTTATTTGGCAAAGAAATGGCAGCATTAAATTTAATGACACTTTTAAATTCTCTCAACTTTCTGGAAATGGTGGATAGTATTTTAATGGTGTGTTTTAGGCTGTGAGGATGTGAACGCATTAATTTCTCTGAGGCTCTATAAAGCTAATTGTATCCCTCCAAAAGAAGAGGGGTCAGGGTTTCCTGTCATTGTGACTCGACCCAGTAGGATGACAGCCAGGGTGTAGAGATCTGGGTGACAGACCATTGAGAAAAAAATAAAAAGCACAGCCTGTGGAAATAGCTGGCAGCAGTGACTGTAAAGGTTACAACAGCATGATGACCGAGCACCCTGTTTCTACACTTCATGATGAAACGGTGTCGCAATGCTCCTGTCAGTTCTTCCAACTAGGTTCTTGTTACATATTAAATCATCTCTAGACCTGAACCCTGAGCTGGTTTATTTTTGTTTGTATTTCAGAACTTGGGGCACTGTAATTAAGTTTTAGCATATATAGTGTTTTTGGGTGGATTGCTCTGAAATAAACCGTTGCCACATCTGGTGAACAGAGGAAGAGCAACAGATTTAGCTGAGTCAGAGTGATTGGAATCAAAGGGCGTTTGCCTGGAGTGAAATCTT